TTCCTACTTTATTATTTTATGCATTTTTCACGCATAAAACATGTACCTGCTTTATATATGCCACCCCCCTCCCCCACATTTTGGGCTTGGAAAGTTTGGAAAAAAGGATGGCTTATACATGGGGAAATACGGTAATCAGTTTAGCTTGAGAAAATTCTATTATCTATCACACATCACTATATGTGGCCTAGGACGAATACAGCCCTTATTCAATGACCATTACCAATTAATGACCCTTTATTTTTACTGGAGGTGTGCTGCAAAAGAGACGTATGCAACTACGGAGAGAGAAGCAAGCCGAAAAGATGTGTATAGATTTTTCATACTTGACCAATAATTCTCATTAAATGTTTGCGCGTTAAGGAAACTGTCTACCTATTCGCGTGGCTCTGTTGTCTCTACGCGACCTGTTCCAGGTAGCGACGTAATAGGCCTGTGAATTGCGGGTTGCCGAGGCCTAATCTCAGCTCGGCTTTGCAATAAGGCCCAGAAAATTACCAAACTAGCATCAAGTAGCATTGCTTATGCAAGGCAATAAACACAGAAATAAACTTACAGTTAAATATCGGCTAAGTTATGCCAACACCGGGACAATGCACATCAACTTCGTTAAGTAAAATGGCCTAGCAACGTTTTGTTCCAGGCTTGCTATGCAAGCTTCGCGGCCCTGTCTAAAACGGTCACTTCTTTGCAGCTTTATTGCTGAACATAACCCGCCAAACGACGGATGATTTTGGCCGGCAGACGCATTTATTGGTTTGCTTCTCTCTGTGACCTGAACTACGAGTCTTTTCGAACCAGATAATGATGGAACAGAGCAGAACCTTCAACCCTCCAGTTCTCTTGTTGATTTAAGAGTCGAGTTTACCACTACAACAACTAGAATGGAGGTATTACATGCGAATTATTCCCAAAATAGAATGTCGCCTTGTAGGTGCAGTTAGTATGGCATTCGTGTCAAACGATTGGCTGACTCTCGTCTACCTTCTGGGAATTTTTGCCTAACCTATGTTACTCTGCCTTGTTGGATCGTAACAAGTCTTTTTTTTAAAAAAATTATAGCCTTTTAGTTTTATATGTATTATAGGTTGTCTGTCATCGCAACTAACTGTATTACTATAAACCAAATAAGTAGCTTTCGGGATTATCATCAGGTCTTTTTTTAGAAACCAAGACAAGGGCAATCGGAATCGGTGTAATCATGAAGCTTGATAATCGTGAGAAAATTCATCTATCAACATTCGCCTCCCCGTAAGCTATCATAAATAACTCTGGTTCCTATTCAAGATCTAATGATAATCTATGCAGCAGTGCCATGTTTTGTAATCTACAGCACAGATTAGCCGTATTAGTACCGATATCACTGTAAAATATGTATTGACAGGATCTGGTCTCTAACCCTGTTGGAGGTAATGATGAGGCTTAGATGAGGTCGAAACTGTCTACCAGGTTTCGAATCGTCTTCCGCCATTGAGGCTTGGCTAGAAGATGGAGTGGCATGAGCACCACAAAGTGAAAGTTGAAACATCATCAATCATCTCAGGGACTCTTCGATACTCAACTTTTCTTTATGCCTATTGTTCAGAGGATTTGTGCTGCGATGTTTTCCACAGGGATCAATCAGCTCTTACGGAGAGACCACTTGATTACCATAACGATAGACACGGTATCGTATAGTCGCAGAACTATGTCTGTTTATACGAAACGGTTGTTGAGGCAACAGAAGAAGGGCAATTTGCAAATAGTTTGCATTTCAATACAATCCAGACAAATATGCTCATCCCTCTTGCCAAAAGAGACAGGAGATGATTGTCCCTTTTGAATTGGTGCGAAAATAACTTATAGTATGTATGCAAACTGGCATTAATTTTTGCTTTTGTTAAATTAATGAATTTGAAATATTGTTATCCTACGTCGTTTAAGGGCATTTAATGACTTATTTTTGATGTTATTATGTTTCGAATTATCTTCAATCCTTGTCATCTGATCGAAGCTGGAGAAGCGAAACCTATTTTCCAGCCTAGATGAGAAAATTTTTAGATAATCAATTCGGTTATCATTCTTTGCATCTTCTTAAGCAACCGAGAGTCCCTTAAGTTCTTATCAAAGACATATTTGCCCGGAAAATTTAGATTAATTGGGAGGTTGGTATGTGAATTTCCGGGCAACACCACCTTTTAGGAAATTTTCTTTCGTTAGAGTTGATCTGAAAGCGTAGCCCTTTGAACTGGCAAAGGCACCTTTTAACTAAGGTCTGATAGTGTTAAGAGATAATACATCTCCAGCAACGGCGAAATTTCATCTTATCTCAGAAGCCTCTTACAGTTGTGAATGCATACAAATATGCATATGTAAATCAAAAACCAAATTAAGGAAGCATACTGAGGCCATACAAGACAGTAAAATTCAGTAGTCTATTAGTAGTGACTAGGCTTTCGAGGTTCTCAGCTGTTCTTGAATAGGAAATTTCATCACCCTAGGCAATTTAAGTTGATCACGTTTGCTTATACTTGCCTATCAAAAGATATTCTCATCGAGAATGGACTGTAGTTTAGATCTCGCCTGGATTTCCTCAGCATCCGCAGCAGGAATCGAACCCTGGTAGTTCGACGTTTATTTTCAGCATTTTACTTCTACGACACATTGTCACAGGTCAGACATGTCTTCCAAAGCATATCATACCATTTTTGTAATTGGATTGTTGCTAAAAGGAGCGTGTATTTGACCCCACCTTACCTACGCTTATAATGAGAATACTATTTTGAAGATAGAGCAATGTGAAATTCGATTGTATCATGAGGTCTACTCCTGGCATAGTGAGAAGTTTCATCATCACTGTAAGCGACATGTGGTAACTAAAATTAGTATTCAACAAATTTAATTCTCCTTTCACAGACAAGCTATCCTAAGCAATTTATAATTTTTTGTTTCTATCGGTAAATTTAACTCGGGAAGCCTTACCAAACTGGAATTTGTTAAGTGCTTCTAACAAAACGCGAATGACGATAAGGACTTAACTCCAATTTATAAAATTATTTTGGCATTCTGACTTTATAATTATTTAAAGGCGTGAATACATAAATTGCATAATGTTTTAAAGACCATGTTATCCTGAAAATAGGCTTAATTAACCTCAAAAGAGAGAATGCATTTAATAAAAATAGTCCAGCATTGGCCGCAAATGTAAATTCCGCCATACGCCCAGTCACTTTATTAAGGGAAGGTATGAATTAAATTGCAGGCTAGTAAAGCCCAATCCACAAATAACTAATTTCTCTTATTATTTTTCTGCTCTTCCTCTTTTCGTTGAAGGTTTCAGTTCGGTTGTGATGTCGACTAGAAAGTATCCGTGAATTGACTTTCCGAAGCCCGATAAAAGTCTGATTTGAAATTTTGATGGTCGGTCTGTGCACCGCAGCTTTCTCACCCCTAAACGGAATAAATTAATGATGGGCCTTTGTCTCTTCTGCCAAGAAGAGAAGATGTTATGTGAAGACTTCACAGAAACGCTTGAATTGGTACTGACCTAGGGCTAGTAATAAAGCTCAGTAAAAATTGGTTTCTCGATTTGACGACGTCCTGGGCAGCAGGAGGGAAAAATGTTCAACTCGGTTGAAGGAATGCTTTGCTTAAGTCGACTTGAACAATTGCAAGGCAACTTCTCCGGGGTTGTAACGAAGTCAATGTATGAATCTCTTTCATTTAGCTATTCCCACAGTATGAAGAAGTCTTCGAATGATTGAGAGCATTTTCGAATACATTATTTTGAACTTTCGCTACTGGATTTTGGATTTATTCACATGCCTCTAGCCTGAAATATGATTTTAGCTTACCATATCACTTTATACTTCAGCAAAATACATGGTTTTGAGATAAGCTGAAGTGTGATTTTGACCTGTCAGTTTTAATATGGCTGAAAGAATGGTATCCTGCTCTGAGAATATTCGTCTTGTTTTCGCAATAATTGAAAGAGAACGCATCAGTGACAGCCTTAACTGGAATTTTTCACTAACACCAACCAATGGCTAGCCAAGGGGTATCTGCCGTCGTGTTCCGGTGGGATCAACCTTCGATCTCTTTACCACACACTCTCACTCGTAATAGAAGCTAAGATAATCTGGTTTTCTTCACACTTATCTTCCATATTTTTTTCAGTCTTGGTTACCAGTCTTTCATCACAGGGTTCCCAGTCGCCTTCTTTGTCCAATTTGACGGACAATCATAGGACTCTTCCAGCCACCAACAATTCGTCTGAAGCCTTTGGTGATGACGTCTGGTCGCCTAACCCAAAGTCCCCGGCTCTCTCGTTAGTGTCAATGACTCAAAAGGCGACCGCCTCAGTTGATGAGGCAAGGCTACAGGACTATGCCAGAAGATCGCACTTCCTCTTCACTCTTCACATCTACCAATACAGAATGAAGCCGGCTGGATCGGATACTGAAGGTATACACTGTCTTCCTCATCTCTTTATCGCCTCATTTTCGAGCTAACTCTACTTTTCCACGGCTTTTTATCCTCGAGAAATACTTCCTTGGCCTCGGTTGCTTGAGATGGAATTCTTCCTGTGGGGTGAGAACATGTCGCCAAAATGCATATAGACGGGCTTCTAATCCCCTTGGAGAAGTTAATGAGACATGGAAAAGGTCTAAATTGCCTTTTCAATCGGGAGGAGAAGACCGGTAGATTGAAGTGGTCAAGCGAAATCTATTGACAGTATAAAGCCTCTTGGAAGTATTTTGGGAAAAATTATATTATCATTCCTTGGCTTGGCCAAGTTCTTATTTATTAATTTCTGGTAGTATCGAGGCATTCATCTTTTCTTGAGTTCAGGCAGGGAAGAGGTAACCCAATAAAACAAGCGAGAAAGGTTCAAGGAAGCAGAAATGATGATCGAGATTGAAGTAATCTGAAATTAGAGTAAAGCCTGGTTTATAAATTCATATTTCCATGTTTTGACTGCAGCTTAACTTCTTCTTTTTACCCTTTGTCCCTGGCTTGATTCTGATCCATTACTTGGTGCTGGGATAGAGGCCAACTATGATTAAAGCCCTTCATTTCTCCGAACAGACAATCAAATACTTGCATTTTTCCACCAAGTCTGCCGGTGATTAGGCTATACAATTAATAAAACGGAAATTTCCAGCTATTTTAAGCCAAACTTTTCCAAGCTGATTCGAGAGCATTTAACTCTAAGTTATGGCGATTTCTTACCTAAAACTGACCTCGTTGTAAACATTTTTTGCATAATTTACCCTTACCACTGTTCAGTATTATTTTTTTCGACATATAATTGCATGAATAGTGCCCACACTAGTTTTAGTATGGTTAATTGATATGAAATTTGTTTACTAAATTTTTAAAATGTTTAGTTTAGCAGTAATTGAATTTACATGCGGTGCTTAAATTTTATGTTTCCTTGCCATCCAGATGATATTTATAGGCATATATTGAACAGAGAGTAAATAATTTCACTTTATTCAAACTAACCTTTGTATATAAATGTGCTTACACGTACCTGTATACTAACGCAGGTGACTTGGTCCAAAGCAAAAGTAGGAATATGTGCAAACATATCTTCATTCACTCTTGAGTGACTAATTTTCGTATGCGTCTTTACCTCTACTCACTCAATCATGCCTCAAGTAATGAGGTCACAATTTAGCGTTGAATAGAGAAATAATAGATAATAGATCTAGTCACGATTGGTTAAAATGAAATGATTATTGCATATAGTTGTACAAACCTCACAATCCCTAACCGCAGGACTCGAGCCTAGAGTCAGTGGGCTCGATAATTAAGACACACATCCCTAAACCAAACAGTTCATCCAACCGAATATTCGAGACACATCTCTAAGTGGTTTTTGTTTTATAAGTCAGCTGTTGACCTTCACCCAAAATAAGAATAGTCAATGTTATGGTTACCTTAAAAGGTTAGAGACTTAAACTTCTCGAACGGATCTGAGCATATAACATTGTGCAGAGCCTTCTAGTTATTCTGGCTTATTCAAGAACTATGGGCAAGTTGCTTCATTCCATTTGCCTGATGGAACTTGCAGATTGCAGTCTCCGTGAGCTAGCCAAGTTTGGTTCCTAATGAGAGACCAGTTGGAAACAAGTTTGGCCCGAACCGAGGTCTATCACAAATACGAAGTCGTTGAGAATATAAAGTAGAATGAAATTTAGTGAAAGAGTAAATTATTGCTGTTTCACACCAGAAAAGCAATCCATGTTGCACTTCAGAGACGGAGGAAATCGAAAAGGTAATGACGACCCCTATTCTGCCTATTTAGCCATTGGAATAATTCCCCAATGGCATTGTTCGTACCAAAACAACTCCTTTGTCTGTATTTAGGGCATATCAAGATGAAATAGGTGTCAAAGCTACATTACTGACAATCTGGAATGTAGTTTATCGACCAAGGGCAGACAAAGGAGCATCCAATGGCATGGCAATTGGAAATACGTAATATATTTAATTTCATGGTTAGCCGACAGATGCTAAATATTAAAATGCAACATTTTATTACTTTTAACCTTACAAGAACCACAAAGCCATACTCTTCATTTAGAGATATGGTCAGGACACATTTTTACGACTTCTGCCTCAACGATGAGGAAA